AATGAAACATGACCCGTTAACTCACCGACAGAAAAGTCCCTTTTTCTTAGGTGAGTTAACGGGTCATGTTTCATTTATAAAAAGAAAACCACATGGTCAGTAGCGTTTAAACTTTACAGTTTTGTACAACTTCATAATCCATACAATTCTTGAAAAGTAGAGGATTTCTCTTCTATCTGATCAAGATATACATCAGATTAGCGTTTGAAAAACGTCTGTGCGTTAACTGCGTTTTTCATGTATTCGTTCAACTTCTTATATATCCAAGTGTTTCAATCATTCCAGATCAGTCTGAGCACATGTGATGGGTATGTTGAGGTTCCTATCAATGAACGGATGTATGATCAATGCACGCATGTAAATATCCAGATGAGGGTGTGCGGTGGGTGCGGAGGGGTTAATATCAATGTGAGGGTGTGGGGTGGGTGCGGAGGGGTGGATATCAATGTGAGGGTGTGGGGTGGGTGCGGAGGGGTGGATATCAATATGAGGGTGTGGAGGGTGTGTGGAGAGGTTGGTATCAAAGTGTGGATGCCCGATGAGTCCAGAAGGATTATAAGCAAAATGACCCTGTGCGGTAGATGTCAAAAGCTTATCACAGTGGTGATAGCATGCAAATGAGGGTACAAAATAAGCGCGGAGACGTTATGAGTGAAGTGAAGATCCGCAACCCGCAGGGACAGCTAACAACTACTGCAACCGCAAAACACCAGTACGACACTACTTAAATATTTCAAAAAAAAGCCCTTCAACTTTTGCACATGTATCTCAACAACCAAAATCAGATTTCAAGTTTAAAGAGGTGCGCAACATCACACTCAAGCCAAACCAGCACCGATATAATATATCTCATATGAACAAGCAACGTCACAAAACCACTCTCCAATAAACCGCTAAACACAAGATCTCTAATATTCCATAAGATGTCACCCTACTCCGATGTTACTACCCATTCACCACATTGTTTCCCAGCACCAGAATTCAATATATAAACAACGCAAACATAATCTATATTGTACCATTCGCAACCATATGAGCGGTACATCGAACAGCTTCTTATCGGCTAGTTGTCGAACTACGCAGATCACGTAGGCTTATCTGTGATCTTTGGATCATTTGGATAGCTTATGCAGTCTAAAGCCATCTGATGAGTCCTCTAGCAGGGACGAAATCGCGATAATGGCGTGCTTTGACTCACCCACACCCACACCCCACACCCTTAATGAGTACGCGTCTTTCTCTCCAACGCTTCACAAACGCTTAAGCTACTTCAACAAAATCATAGATAAAGAAGGCTTTCAGCTAGAGACTGCCGTTCATTTACTGGAGGTTATGGGAGAAAACTCATACAACTAAATAATCTAAGATATTGAATGACTGATTCCCTGATTTATTCATCCTAGATATCCAATTTGTCAGCTTTAAAGAGCGCGATACCTGATTGGCCAATTTCACAATCCATCATAGTTACCAATAAGTTTCATCGATCTCCGAATCTTACTCGTGAAGTTCCTGTCAGTGTTGACTTCTGGTTCTAACACAAGCACACCCTCCATATACAGTATTTGTCATCATATGATCCTTCCTATAGGCCAGAAAATATCGAATTGGTCCGTATACATATTCAAAATATTTTATTGGATAAGTCAATTTATTGCTGCGCCCAATTTCTCTCTTAGACGTAAGGCTTTTCCCTTGGTATATAAAAACTATGCTCGGTCAACCTGTAAACCTATTCCAAACCGTGTTTATCTGAATTTTGAACATTCTCGAGAATAATGTTTTTTTTACCTTTGACCCTACCACAGACAGACAAACTATTCTTTTTTGTATGACCTTCCTTTCAGTCGAGGGAATAAGACTGATGAAATTAATAAGATGAATAACACTGAAGACTCTAAGTAGAAATGAGGCTGATGAGACAATAAGACTGAATTACTCATATTGAGTATTATAATAAGAAGAAGAAGTGGACTGATAAGATTAATGAGACTACATAAGCATACATATACAGGTTGATTACGTTATTTTTAATAGTTTTGTACATTCTGCCCTAGCTAAATAAAAAGTCCAACTTTCTTTATTCTTATGTGGTAAGATAGAGCGTCGATTACTCTACCAAACCATACTATTTTAATCTTATTTGATGCAGCTCTTTTATAAAATAATACTAAACTACAATGAGGTCTTTATAAGTTTTTTTTTACAATGAATATTAAAGCGTGATTTTTTTGCGTTTTATAGTTTGAAAGCTTATAATTTAATACAGTATATCATAGAACAAAGTATATCAGTCGATGTACCATCAAAAACTCTACAATTTACATAAGATCACCCTCTTCATTTCTCCTCCTTCTTGTTTTTTAAAAGGAGAAAACTGAAATCAGCGAAATAGTAAATATGTCAATATTGATTTGACATCATTTATTAAATATATTTCAAATCAATGACAAGAGATTTGTAGTGTTTTCATAAGCTTTTTCTTCTATTTTTTTCTCGTCCAGTCGACTTTTGTTTCTAAGAGCATTCTCAAACGAGAAAAACATTGAATTTTAACAAAATATTCCGTTACAGAATGAAATCGATTAAGCAATTCTTTTGTAAATTACAGAATCTTTCATAACGATCAAAATTTCTGTCTGACTGTCCAATAGACGTTATCTGGTGATAAAAGCACAACGTATCGAATGTGATATACCCCTTCAAAAAATTTTAAAAGTACCTTTTTTTAACTCGTTATTATTGAGTTTCGTTTATCTAGGGCAGAATGTACAAAACTATTAAAAATAACGTAATCAACCTGTATGAGTGCTTTCAATTCATTCTAACCATGTATTTCTGTACAATGTAACAATCGATAAATCAAATGGAAGCAACAAGACACATGGGAATACAAATAACAATGTTTTTATTCATTCATTGAAAAATTTATGATCATTTCTTTATTTAAATCGAGAAAAATAATGAAAGTATATTAGTAGACATCGACGTTTATTTGTTCGGTGAAAATGTTTTGCACGAATAAAATGTAATAAAATATGAAGTATTTTGAACACGAAAGCAGATTTTATAAAATAATTAGACAACAGAAAATAAGATATGTCTATTGTCTTTTCGTTTATTAAAATAGATTTTTAATCTAGTTAGATGGTAGAACATTCACCTTTGTTTAAGAAAATATCGATGATATTCACTTCACTACTGGCACTGATTATATCTTGATAACCATCATTATTGAAATCATTTACGGCAAACCACTGAAAAGCATATATAGATTCACTCCAATGAATTTCCTGTGAATAAAAACGACCATTTCCATATCCAAGTAATCCATAAATTCGATATGGATCATTTAGGGCAAGAATAATGTCTAAATAATTATCACCATTAATATTACCTATAACAATTGAAGTCAATTTACCAAGGGACTTTATGGTAGTATTCTTATTTTTATTGAAACGTCTATTATTATATTGATATATCGTACAAATAATATCTTTCCAATAATGCACGTTAGCAATATCAAATTGATAATCGTTATCGAAATCACCTATTGCTATAGAACTAAATATAGGTTTGAAAGAGGTGAAAAACGGCTTCTGTGCTTGAAATGTTCCATTGGTTGATCCAAAAAATACATAAATATGTGAAGATTTATAATCGTACACAACAATATCAACATAAGTATCGTTATTAACATCACCAACAACTAAATCTGTTAATTCACTGTAAAGTTCTGTGAATAAAACAAATATTATTGAAAAATCCCCATCTCTATTTCCAAACATCACATATACATTGGGATCTTTTTCCATAATCATAACGATATCCAATATCTTATCATTGTTAAGATCATTAACAGTCATTTTTCTTGGCAACTCATCTATTATTATAGATAACATATTTGCTTCAAATGTTCCATCTCCATTGCTAAGTAAAAGCGTAAGACGCCGCTTTAAATCAACTTCATGTAGCAAAATGACATCAGATCGATTATCATTATTGAAGTCAGCAGTATGGAGCATTGATGCCCCGCTAACATTTTCAGATGGTATTATTATAGAGTTTTGAAATGTTCCATTGTCATCACCCAATAATACTAACATCTTTTGATATCCGGATAATTGACAATAATAAATGAGATCAGCTTGATTATCATTATTAAAATCAGCAGTGGCAATAAGAAAGTTTCCCGCATAACCTTCGTGACAAGAAATATTGATTGATCTTTGTTGAAATTTGAATTGACAAGGTGGTTCTATAATAAAATAAATCTAATTAAATACTATTTGATGAAAATTCCCTTCAATCTGAACTTCTTGAATGTTTCATTAATTTTTCTCTGATATCAATCACTATCAGGTCATAAATATAGACGCTATGCACTAGGGAGAGAATGTTCCGAAATACTAAAAGGCTTTCAATTCCAAACTTTGTCCATACGTAGAAGAATCGAAGGCAACTACAATAGTTCATCCATACATTTTTAGAATTTTTCAACGAAATCTTTCCGAGTTATAATGTTTTCAAGATATTCATGCATATATCAATATTCTCCTAAAACTGTGTTTCTGCTAACTAATTCATATGTTAAACTTTCATCTTGGTAAAGCTTCAAATCAAAATGAGATCTCATAGAGAAACTTCAGTAAAAACTGATTATCTGAACTAAATCTTTGTCTAGGTTTATATATCGCCTATATATGAAAGCATTTCGGAACATTTCATTGTCAAATATAAAGATAAAAATTCTCGGAAATAAATTGTTCGAATGCTTATTGTAAATATATTATTGCAGCAAGAAAATATTCCTTAGAAACTATTATCATTTATTTTGAAAATCGGTTAGAATTTCTATCATTTTCTGTATTTGCATTTTCGTTTGCGCTTGAACAATGATGAATCAATCAAGTGCAATACAAAGATATTACCTTGATCATATTCCTAAACAGCGTTTGTTATTGGTAGTTTGAGAATAAACTACTGTGACTTCTAGAGCTCGATTTCTATACTTTTACCCTTATTCTTCTAATTTATTTTGTTCTGTCTAAGGTATTTTTGTGAAACACGATCCGAAAGAGAGTGTTGAAGTGTTTAAGAGCAGAAATTTGAACCCACTCCCCCCCGCCCCCCCCCCCCCACGAACTGCGACAGATTTGATGAAAAGTGGCATAACAGACCGTGACAGAGACATAAAAATGGTATCACAGATTGTGACAGACTCAGAAAAATGGCATCACACACCGTGACAGAGACCGATCACAGACTGTGAAAGAAGGTTTTAAGGAATCACAGACCATGACAGAGACAAAATTAAGAACACATCAGAGATCGTGACAGAGTCGAAAAATTATCATCACAGACCGTGACAGAATCCCAAAAATACCATCACGGGCCGTGACATCTATGCGTTTTTATACCATTGCGATTAAGGACCGTACTAAAAGGAAGAAAATGACAACACGTGCTAATACGATGCCCCCTTGTATCCTCTCCTCCCTCTCCTCCCTATTCTTATACTATACCTCCAATTGAAAAATGTTGGATTGTGTACTAAAGACCTCGATGAATTTCTTATGAGAAGTCGTAGTAAATGAACTAAAAGTATTATGACAGACTATAAAAGAAAGCCCTTCACCACATATTGTTCATATAAAACTATTCAAACTCAAATTTATTGTGACTAACGGAAAACCGCACCAGAAGGTTTTAATAACCATAAAACTCTATGAAAACAGAAGAACTGAACTGATCGTGTTTCACATTTTGAATCCCGCAAAGGATCACGCTGAAAGCTTTTTTAAGTATATCTACAGAAGAAACCCACATCAACGTTGTAGATTAATCACCTGGTGTAATTGAGGATGTTGACATCATTGAAGTTGTTGTTGTGTTCAAATTGCCATTCATTGTTCTGTTTGTGGTTAATACTACAGAAAAAAACAAAATATTTTATCAAATTTTAAAACAGTCTATTGTTTATGTTTTGTTATTATTTACACTGAATAATAATTATAAAACAATATGTTCTTACCATTTTTAGTATGATAAATTGAAAAAATAATAATAGCAACAATCAGAAATATTAATAATACCACTATCAGAATTATCTTTGAATACCATTGAATTGATGAATTAATTGTTTTTCTGAGCAAAAGATATTGTTAAAGATTAAAATAATGAATAAAAAGATGTGATATTTACTTCGTTGTGATATTATCTGTTGTTCGAATGTCAACATCAGCATTTGCAGTATCAATATGGATGTTATTTAATGACATCTCAAGAGAACTAACTGGATGAATTGAACTTCTCTGTCTTGTGTAATAAAAATAAATTTTCATGAAAATTCGAACTATTTTTGGACAAACCCATTTCAAAACTAATGTTAAACCACCTTGAAAACTCAGGAAAAGAGTAATAATATATAATATGTTAAATGTTTCAATATAAGTATATGAACATAATAATGACATACATTGATAATAATATGATGTATAACTCGGTTTTATTGACCATTGTTCCACAAATGACTTATCAATCAATTCATTAATAGTTGTATTTGGTGGAAAATGGTGTGATATGTTTAAAATAGAAATCGAATGATTTTCTTGATAATTTGTATGTCGATGAATAAGACTAAGGCATGATTGATTATAGAAACATTCAAGAGTTGACAAACGAAAAGATTCACTTGCTGTACATCCCATTTTTAATCCTTCAATTGGAAATATTTTTGAAGGATTTCCATCAATAACAAAAGTTGCTTGGGTTGTACAATTCGAAGATATTCCACATGAACAATTATTGTCATAAACCATCGCCTCTGTATATGCATAAGTGTCTGTATTCAGTTTCGGCAAAGTAGCATAAATAAAATTTGTTCCATATGTTGACATAAAAGCATTTCCATGATAAACGATGCGAGTAATGAAGAGAAAGCGAGAAAGTAAAATAGGAGCATTCAATTCACTTTGTTTGACAAGAGTGTTAAGGCGATTGTGAAAATCTTGTTCGGAAAGAAGTTCAACAGTGACTAATAATGATGAAAGAAATTCATTAATGGCATTATTAACTACTTCTTTCGAGATTCGACATAATCCTTGAAGATATTGAATATGAGCAGAAATGAATCGACGATAATCTCTTGTAGAATACACCGATAAATTCGAAATAAGATTATTTGTTACAGCAACTCTCCATTTGTCGGTAGTAAAGTCACTTGAACAAATCTATGAATAAGAACGATAGAAACTATTTATTAGAATTATCATTGAAAATTAGGGGTACACAAGTTCAAGTTCAAGAACTGACTCAAATGAACTTTAGAATTTGAACTGAACTTTGTAAACCCCTAGTTTGAACAAAAGGTAATTGTAGTCAAGGAACTCCAATATGGTGTCAAATATTTTGAAACTCTTGAGGATCGAAGACCCTTTCAGTATGAAAGCTATAGAAGTTCGACCATTTCCAAGAGAAAGAGCTGATTGAGTCCTCGAGTACGCGTTACCTTTTGTACTTTATCATTAATCTATTTACAATACGTGAGCAAAAGTATATCGTGAAAGACTAAGAATCTGGATGTCTAGTCGGACTCCGAAAACGTTTTCCGGTGAACACGACTTCGCAAGACTCTGAATGGACAGCGAAACACTTTAATACTTAATTTGAATACTTGAACTTAACTTTAGAGTTCGACATCAATACATTCTTCTCACCAAACAAAGTAATTTGTTGTTATATTCTTACCGAATGGAATATCGGTTTAATTTCTAGAGATTCATTATATGTTGATGCTATTTTTGAACATGGACATTTCAATTTATTTCCATATTTTCGATGAAAATTTTGATACGAAGTTAATGATAGTTTCTCAAAAGTTTTTATTGCAGTATGTGGTCGAATAATTGTGTAAAAGATAAGAATTGTAAGACTAATAATAAATAAAAGAATATAAAGCCGAGTTGCCGATCGACCATACGATATCACCGTTGATCGATTAACATTACTTCCGAAATTATGCGCTGAAAAGATATTCAATTCAGTTGCAACCTTTGCCAGACGTTTCATCATATTTTGTCCCATTATTTTCATTCGATTAAACCAACCGTGTTTAACTAAACAACAATAAGCATATTAAAAAGATCCTTTATAGATTGAATAATCATTTTGACACAAGCAACACTCCTATTCCTAAAGAACAACGCTAATATTCATTGAGCTTGAAAAGAATGATGGCATGCATTAAGGAAAAGTCGACGGCTAGAAATTTGTGATTTTTTTTTGCTTGACAGCGTCATGGCTCATTCGATTGGCTTACACATTTTTATTCGAGTCTTTACTGGTTTCAGTCATCCAAGTCGGATAATTTGGCTTAGAAACGATCGGTTCTGAAGGATTTTGGAGTTTTCATGGAAACAGTAACTATCTGATTTCTTAGAGGAAAACAAATATGAGATTCGTTAGAAAGAACACATCTGATATCGCAGAAAACCTGCGTCAGAATTGGTTCACGTATTTGTTTTACTCTAAGAAACCAAATACTTACTTTTGTGAATGGGAGATGAAAGTAACTCATCTATGAGAGTTGAAGTGTTGATCGGATACAATTTCATAAATACTCCCTGGAAGAGTTCTTTTTACAAGGTTTTCTGAAATACTTTACAGAGTATTTTTTGGGAAAAAATTAGAGCATATATGTGAAAATACTAAGAGGTCCATCTAATTTGAAACACTCCTTACCTCGTTCTCTTCGTACTTTTTGTTGTGTGTTTTTCTTGAATATTGTCAAAAGTTTAAGAATAAATTTAACAAAATAAGGTGTCCCAATTCGTAATGAAACTACAATACCGCCAACCATAGATATTAATGTTACTATTACTCCACTAAAATTTTGCGTACGAATTCTTTGAGAATAAGTGCAATATTTAGGTGCACATAATCCATAAAATACTTCATATGATGATGATGGATTCCATTGTTCGATCATCATTTCTTTGAACATTATTGAGATAGTTGTATTTGGAGGAAATCGAGTCGCTGTTGAATTATAAATCAATGGATCACTGTTAAAAGGAGATATTAATGGATCAGAAATAATAAATTGGGACATGTCCAGATGACGTATTAAGAACGGGAAACATTCTGAATCATCATAGAAAGATTGAAGTGTCGAAAGAAGAAGAGAATCGATGTGTAGACATCGTCGGACCAATCCCACTACGTTGTGAATCAAATTACTATCATTATTTTTCTTAAAAGTGAAATTCTTAGCATATATAACACTTGGTTCTTGACAATACGGATTTGTAGCACAAACACACGCAATTTCTTCTGAATTAATTTTTGGAATTCCATTTAACAGAAATTGAAACTACAAATAAAATTACAAAAATCTGTAAATAACGCTTGTCGTAAGACTAACTCAGCTCTTTCCCGAAGAAATAATATTTCTGAATCTTAAATAGGAGAAAGTCGGATTTGTAAAAGTTTCATATCGAAAGATTCTTCGATCCCAACTATCATTCGGTCAAACTTTAAGAAGTATGTTTGCTAGATTCTACTCTACGAGACAAAGAATGATATTAAAGATATATTGATATCTAATTATTAGTCTATTTTGTTCTAAATGTTATAAAAATGAGACAACAAAATAAACGATGAACTTCTATACGTTTCAAAAATTATAGCCCCTATAGAGACCTGCAGTTTTCACAATTTGACAACTAAAATCCAGGAAGAAATTTTCTAGGCAAAGATTATTTCGAAAAGAACATTCGTACATCAGGTATATTAGAGAAATTTTAACAAACTTTACTAGTCGTTAGAAACTGTCGTAAAAGTCGACTGATTTTTTTGTTAAAAGTCTTTACTGATAAAAATATCTTGCAGAATTTTAAGCAACAAATGGTGAAAATTATGGATGTCTCTTGTACTCCTATCTTGAGTTAGTCAAGAGACAAGCGAGTGCTATGATTTCTGGAATAAATGATTAAAAACGAGTTGAAAAACTAGGAATTAGTTAGAGTAATTAGAATCTTGTAATATAAATAGATTCTTTTTTATTAGTACTATTTTTCGTTTATTATTATGATTATTTCGTATCCAACGGGCAAAATCAGATAAGAATCTTTCTGGTAGCTGAGAAAATCGCGAACCTGGAGAGAATTGAGGCAAGATCGTCGGTTAGTGTTGAAGATTCTCGATTATTATTATTATTATTATCGACTATTTATATATTCGAATTCGAAGAATATACTTTATATTTATGAAGGAAAGGAACAGTGTAAGCGGATCATAGAATCTATGTTCGGTAAAGCTCAAACTTCATTAAAACTCATCTGAATTTACAGAGATGTGTCAAGTTTAATAGATTTCACTAATATTTATCTATACGAAACTTAGTTCGCTTGTGCGTACTAGTTTTTAAAGAAAAAACTTAATTTGAATCTTAATGGCTTCTAGTGGATTTTAATAAATGTTGCTAGTTTGTGAATCAAAACTGTCCGAATCTTTCAAATTTTATCAAAGCTTACTGTACTGCTATAGGTCTACCAGAATCTACCACAATCAATAAAAAACTAATTAGTTTCACAACAGTTTTGGGTTAATACAGAAGATGGATTTTTCCTTTGTTCCATATAATTCAGTTGCTTAAGATAGTAATTTACTTTTATTTTCTATTTTAAGATATAAAAGTACTTAGGGCGTACCAAAAGTTCGTGGTCCGATGTTAAAAATTTTAGAAAACAGTAAATATTTTATATTTTATTATAGGAACATATAGTATCATGTCTCTTCTTTAATAATCTATAGAGCCGTTCTATCTTGGATTTAGTTCTGGTATTCTGCGAGACTAAATTCATAATTTAGCGACTATGTTAATGTTCAACTATTTCTTGTCCAATGTTCAGGTATATTCTGGAACTATTCATATTTTCCATTGGTCACGTTCTTCCGTTACATTTAATGACGTCATGAGCTATAACAATACCTTCCGATAGTATATATAAATAGAGGCTATTCTCACTGTCAGCTTATTTGTACCGCACCCGACTTCAGATCGTGATAAAATTTGATTTCAGTTGCAAAACAAGTTGTCAAACATGACTGATGAATTTGATCGATACTATATCAAAATTCGAGTGATTTTGGGAATAAATCCAAAAACAATCTTCGAGGAACTTACAGAAGCATTGGGACCTGATGTTCCATCATACTCAATGGTTAAAAATTGGGCAAACCGTTTTCACGAAGGAAGAGACGAGGTTAGTGATGATCCTCGATCTAGTCGTCCAATTTCAGTTCTTACAGTTGGAAATATTGAAAGTGTTCGACAAGTTATCAAAGATGCTCCCTACTCAACTTACAAAGATATTATTGATAAGACTGATCTATCGCGTAGTACAATAGAACCAGTTATCCATGATCATCTAAAAATGAGCAAAGTTGTATCACGTTGGGTTGCTCATCAACTTACCGACGAACAAAAACAAGAAACAGTTCGAATTTGCCGTCAAAATTTAGAAAAATTTAGGAATAGAACATGGCGATTATGTGATATTATCACTGGGGATGAGACGTGGATTTATCACAGACAGATTGATCGGAAGTCAAGCAATTCTGCCTGGGTTGGTGAAAATGAACCACCAAGAACTATTGTTCGTCGGAATAGATATGAACCTAAAACATTGGTTTGCTTCTTCTTTACATCCACTGGTCCTGTTGTTATACACAAAGTAGATAGGGGTAAGGCCATCGAACATAACTACTATATCGATAACTGTCTTATACCTGTCATCAATGAAATAAGAAAAAAGGAAGAGTCATCACGCACAAAATATAAAATACTTCACGATAATGGTCCTCCTCATGCTCATCGAGATGTTGTCGATTATTTAGCAGAGGAAGGTATCGAAACTCATTCCACATCCACCATATTCACCAGATCTCGCACCATGTGACTTTTAGCTAAATGATTATATCAAGAACAAGTTGAAAGATCACGCGAACAAAGTATCACTATCTCAGGAGGTTTCCATCATAGTGAAGAATATTCCACTAAATGAGTTTAAGAAGACTTTCGATAAACTGTTAGAAAGAATGGAACTTTGTATCGAAAATAAAGGTGAATATTTTGAACATTTAATAAAATGAAATAACGAATGTCTCTTCGTTCCCATCTTGTGGTTTTATGTTGCCGTGATCTTTTCTTTGTTATAAATACTAAAGATTTAGTCTGGCAGGATATTAGAACTTAATCCAAGATAGAGTTTGTCTATAGATTATTAAAGACAAGACGTTCTACTATGTATTCTCATAATAAAATATTCAATATTTACTATTTTATAAAATTTCAAATGTCGGACCACGAACTTTTGGTATACCCTAAGTATTGCCAAGAAAGTTTTAGCTCTAATTTTGCTGTAGTAAGACATCAAATTTTAGTCTCGAGATTGTGACTAGTTTGCAGATTCTTAATAGTAACATACCTTGACTGATTCATTTATATTTGTTATATCTATTATCTCATTTTGGATTAATTCGTCGGTAATAGTGTGTTCTTTTATTCCGGTTCTCCCTGTATATAACTGATCAGCTTGCATCAATAATTGTGAGGTATTTATTGTTAACCCAAAAGTGTAAGCTGTTGAGTGATAAAATTGCTTGAGACTGGAGTTAATGATTTTGTAGAAATCGTTTTCATTCATTACAGAAGAAACAATGAACAATTGTGAAAGATATCGTTTCATAGCATCGTTGATTGTTTTTTTAGCTATCTCACAAAAGTTAGATAATAATTGGAACTGTGGAGGTGCATGATTACGCCAATCATTATCAATCGTTATACCCACATCGATTTTTAACATTTTAATCCAACTAACATCGATAAAACCACTCGAACATAACTGATGAAAAGTTGGAAATAATAATATGAGTTTTTCATAAGGTATTGCCTTATTAGAACATGGACATCGAAGTGTCTTATAATATGAAACTTCTAAGGATTTGTAAGTTGTTATCGGTGGTTCTGTTACAATTATTGCTATAATTTCAGTATTTAATGATGTAAATAAACAAAGAGTACAGATTGAACCTAACATTAGAAAAATACACACATGAATGAGTATCTCCATATGAAAATTTATTAAAATTTCTTCATTGAGCAGAAAAGAACTATTTTTTCTACAATTTTTATAATATATCTGATCTAATTAATGAATTTTTCTTTAAGGACTCAAACTGATCATTTATTAAGTGCACTGATATAGTAACTTTACCAAATAATAATGCCAAATAAATACGTGTGATCATTTTCTGTTGTTTGACAGTCGATTCTGATCGATCATCTACGTTCTTAAACAGATTAGTTCGTTTCATTTTTTGAATAAATTTCCATAGATTAGTTCTTCCTTGCTCTGATAAGAATGATCAACAATAAAATATTATTTATTTGATTGATTTGTTACCTGAATTCTCATTCCTTTTTTTCGAACAAGATTTCCACTTCACTAATATATCAATGGTAAATGATGCAATAAGACGAAGAATAATAATGAGACCACCGTAAAGGCTAATAAGAAGAGTAATTGCATAGGATAATTCTGTTCGATCCGTTATTGAATATGTACATGATGATGGGGAACATTGATCAAAATATTTTATATAATTGACTTCTGATGACCAATTTTGAATAAAAAAATCATTTAAGTATTTATCCACAGAGAGTTTTTCATGCCCTGACGATAAGACTAAATTCTCGGGATTAAAGTTTTTCTAAAGAAACAAAAGATTTTAGAGATACATTAGCTTTTTTCATACAAACTTGTTGAAGGATGGGGAAATAATCGATTAATAATTGGAGGCATTTTGTTTCGTATAGGCAATCTAATGTACTTTGAAGAAGTGCTCCAAGCGTAGTACATCCTGTAAAAAATCCATTGACAATGGTAGAACCGGGCATGGTATGTAAGAACAATCTATAAGTAGCTGGAATTGATTCATACTTGTGTGGACCGAGAGTAGCATTAGTTACTACTGCATTCATACTACACATTTGGTCTAACCCGTCACGTTCAGACCTTACTGATTCTGGATGTAAAGTGAGAAATTTACTTTTCATACGGCTTATCAAAACTATTGAATTTGTATTCAAAGCTGAAATTAAATAGTTTGCTTGAATTATGGTTTTTAAATAAGTCAGAAATGACTCCACTTGAAAAGACGCACTCTTCTTCAAAGATTCAATTGTTCTATTTATTTCCATTTGAATTTGTTCTCGAGAAAGAAGATACAAACTAACAAGTTCAGTTTTACCAGTATCATTTTGAATTTGAGAAATAATTTCTTTCGAAAGTGAACAAAGGTTGGATAAAAGTTCAAACTAAAAGAAAACGACAAGTGTGTATGTTCGATTGATTAACCACAGTCAACAGATGTAGAGCATGCTACTGTTAAGAAGAGATAGATGTAATATCTTTTTTGTTCAATTCTTTCAAAATAGAAATAAATCAAAATATTAAAAAAAAACGTGTAACTAACTTGTGAATATGCTGTTGTTCGAAAATCCCAAACTCCGTATTGACTTGCATTTTCAAAATACAATGCTTCAATCCATTCACGATCGGTGAAATTACTTGAACAAACAGGATGTATTGTCACATTGTTCGAAGTAAAATTTTGATATGGTATAGATATTGTTCGACATGGACATGAAAGAATCTTACTATATTCATCAGACAGTTGATTGAAAGTATCAACTGTTATGTTTGTTATAATAACTGTTTTAGATTTGGTTTTCATCAAGGTAACATAGAGCAAAACATAGAAGCATGCTACAACATCAAAATTATTCAAAATGATAATTTTATTTCTATGAATAGTGGGAAAACTTTGTTTATAAACTTTTAATAGATGTTTAGTTATATTTTACAATCTATACACCTAATTACAACAACGAGAGGACAGAGCTTTTAAGAATCTTCTAAAATGTAATGTATCGACAGCTAACTATCACGATACTCAAAACAACGTGTATCCTAAAAGTTGAGGAATATGAGTGAACTTCGTGTATCACTCTTTTTGTCTAACAATATCGTTTCGTCAATGGAATGTACCGTAGAGCATCATGTGAAACTCTCTCGAATTTTCTAGAACCTGATAGGATAAGAATTGTATGATATCACTGGGGAGCCGCAAAGTTGTCTCGATTTCAATCTCGGCCCCAACCTGTCAAAAAGCTGAGAATACTAAAGGGGAAAAGAATTGATAAGCTTGTAAGGTATAACAAACTCTTTTTTGTCCGTATATGATTAATGCAACAAACATAGAAACCGTTTGTTTATCGATTTGGTATGTCTTCAAGAATAGGGATAGAACGCTGAAATTGCAAGAAAATTCAAATAAAATACTTTAAACTTTACATACAACGGTCTATTTGATTTCAAACTGAGTTCTGAACAAAAAAAAGAAACTACATCTCAAAATGTGTTGTTTGATTTCGTCTCATATGTGCAAACTGATCTGATCGAAGGATTGACTCATAGTAATTCATTGGCATGAATGGGTATTATTAACCAAGAGCTGTGAACCGAAGTCTCTATGTATTAATATATTCAACCTTAGATTCAGTTTTCTTTAATTTATGAATGAAGAGATACTAAGATTGAAGCACGTGAATATTGACTACTTCCTTACACCGTGAGATTGCTAGATTTTGGTAAAAAAGAGTTGGATTTAGACCTAACCTGATCCGAAGCCAGTAAAACTTGAACCTACACCCTCTCTAGTTGTTAAACACTGCTCTTATTTATCTTCAATGATTCTCAGTTGATTTCACAAAGCAAGTAACAGAGATCAATAGTACATGTTAAACTCCTAATTTAAGTCAACGTAGAGATTTTCATCGTATTTGGAAAATTCATTTCAACTACGTCATCGTCACCTTGAGTGGCTTAAAATCTGTTGAGGCCAAATCAATGAAAATTGTACTGAAAATATTTTTTCAGTCTCAAAACTTGACAAAATGAATTTGGCTGTTGAAAAAATTCGATCTTATACATAACATAGTGACCAAATATTTTGAGTACAACTTTCATTGATTCGATCTCAGCAGATAATTGTTTCATACTTGACATCAGGATACTTAGTGTAGCAAATCACAGAATATCAGCCCTCACGATTTCTCGGTATTTTTTCGTATTTTGTCTTTACGAAAGTGCAGACGTACACTTGTTGCACCTTGATATATTCTCACTCCTAGAATAATGATTATCTCGATCTTCATCTACATTCTTAGTGATTCAATATAGTTGAATAGAAATTACCTACCTGTGAGAAGAACAACATATAACCAAGTTTTGTATTTTTGATGTTTAAGAATAATTGTTGGATCTCGAACATTATCGTCATTACCTTCATCATCATCATCGTATTCGTGATTGTTTAACATGAAAAGATTGTAATTATATCCCTTTTTATAAAACCATGCAAATAAAGTTTTCGGGTGCATCATGAAATCAATCAATAAGTGTGTGTTTTCAAAAAAGCAAGCTTTCCGTTAACTTCGAAACTTGAAAGGTAGCTGAAGTGCTTAGCTCTGAAAATATTAAGAAAAAACAATAGATGAACAGGTAATTTAATGGCTAGATTTTACTCATAGATAGCTGAACATAAGCCTAACAGAATTCTAATCTAAGTAGAAGAAAAACAAGTTTTAAAGAACATAAAAGAGAAAAGGTGGGCGTATGTTTTCTTGTTTACGAGGACTGGTTCTCAATTAATCGATGAGCTTTTCAAATAGAGCATTTGCTTTTAATGTTTTTTCTCTTTTATCATGATTAACAAATCTTTTTTGGAGAGAGAAATGACGTCATTATACTAAAATAATAAGCAACATTCTGCCACTTTCTGGATAAAATGTTTATCAAATATAAATTTCATCTGTTCAACTATTTTAAGTCATGCTTTACGATTAATCATTGATAGTTAAATAATATAATTTGTCCTTGAAGTTTAAAACGACGTCATCTTACTCTCACATATCTACGTCGTAATATTTATAAATAACGCTCCTCGAGACGGACTCGCATTACCCTCGACTGAAAAGATTCATATGTAATAATCAATTTGCTATTGTTTTTTCATTTCATAGAAGAGAAAATGTTTTCCAATATGAAGTTTATTTATCTGTTTTTCAATGAAATAAAGACAAGTTGATGATATAATAAACAACTACATGAAAGAAAGCAAATAATTTTTTGTATTAGTTCTAAACTAAATCTTTAAAGAAGTCAAAATATGAATAAAGTATATGCGAGTACGAATAAGAAGCGTGGAACAAAACATAATAGTTACGGTAAAATTGAAAACAAAATTTGGGTTTCGATTACAAAACAACGAACTAATAGAGAAAAGGTTTAATTATACAAGAAATTTGCACAGTTACAAGAGATGCAAATAAATCCGATGCGCAAAATGGATGACAAGCAATGGTGATTTGTCTTTTCTATCGTATTTGTCAAAACCATTCTGAAAAACGCATTTGTGTTTCCATGTAGAGTTTGTCTAGTCTTTGCATCTCGGCAACTTGAGATTTGCTGGGTTTGATCACTAAGACTTTGTAATCAAAGTGTC